AATTTTATTTATATAGCGCCAAATCACAACAAAAGTTGCCTCAAGGCCTCAAGTTTTAGCAGTCTGCTTAGTGAATGCTCATGAAATGACCTTTTGTGTTTATTATATCCTCTTATTGTAACATATCTGGCGTTCCCGAGTCAAGGCTAACTTATTTCTGATTCTACAGCAACCAGAATCCTAACTCACAGCGTCTGGCAGACACCATGATGTCATTCCCTGGGATGGACACCACCTGCCTCGACAAGCCTGATAACCTGTAAGTAATTATACTACTAATGGCATCTTTTTTGTTTGTTTTTATCAGTGACATGCTGATTCCTGTACTGGCTTTCTCTATGTATTTAAGCCTTTGTCAAATGTACAGCGTTTTTATATTTCACTTCATCCAAGTCTCTTTCCATCTTTATTTTACAAGGCTTTCCTCTCTGCAATTCCTGTCGCTGTCTCTGGTCTCTCTCCTGTCCCTCCACTCTTCATTTCTCTGCTGCTCTGCTCAGTGTATGTGGCTGAAAGCCTGCAGCAGGACTCTGCGATGTGAGAGCATCATCTGTATTCCATAAACACCCTGTGTTTATAGGGAAGATTTTCCCCTTGCAGGCACTCAAATCAATGTTGGCACTCATGAACCAGACCTCAGAGGCATTTTAAAATTCTCAGGAAAATAAAAAAAGAGAGTGAGAGAAAGAGAGGGGACAGAGAGAGAGAGAGAGAGAAAGAGAGAGACCCTGTCATGAAAAAAGAGGCTGCATGTCTGCTAATCATGTCCAGTAATTACAGCAGAACAATGACTGATTACTGTATTTACATTTTTTTTTACATATATAGAAAATATATTGCATCATCTTCTGACTATGATCATTGTTACTTGGTGTTAGAAATCTAAAGTAACAGGTGTGTATGCAAATAATATTGCCGCAACCTGTTTTTGATCTGCACAGAGCGTCCCTGAAAGCATTTGGCAGAGAGCAAAATGCGTGGGAGTTGAACATCAGCCCACACAAACAGAAATTTCACACAATATGATATTACAGCACACATTAACAGCTTTGAAAAGTGTTATCAAAGGAAAGATTTAGATCCTGATCTCACAAAAATCATGTAAGCCTACAGCTACTTCATAAACGGTTTTAGATTTGACAGTTTTCTTTCTTTTAGCGGGCCATCATATCTCCTCACTTTCAAAATATTTTCTGGGGTGTGTCTAGGGAGAGTGTTGTGGTATGTACCACTCACTGCAAGCTCACTTCATTTCACTTCATTTCACTTGGTGAAACTTTTTTTCCTCTTTTTCAGTGACTGCACAAGGAACACAAACAAGTGGAGCTCCAGTGGAAACACCACGAAAGGATTCAACATCTGCAAATGCACTCGGAAAGAACAGGTGAGACTAGGTCACCGAGAACAGTGCGATTGAGTGATTCTCTGTGTTCTCACTTGTGTGTGTGTGTGTGTGTGTGTCAGCACATAAACGTGTTTCCTGTGCTCATGTTTTTTTGAAAAAGGGAAGATATTTATTTATCTTTTCTTTGCACTGCAGATTTGCGACAAAGACAACTACCAGCCCCCCCGTACGGAGATCCCTTCATCTCAGATTGTTTATGATCTGAATGGCATCAATGTGGAGAACTACCTAGTGGCTACAGCCAATGACTTCATAAGGAACAGGTGAATAGAGCCAATATATCCATGTGGTTAATGAAGGCACAGTGAGACTTTTATACATGCCTCACTGATAATTTACTGCACTCTGTGTTGCAGTCAAAGTATTCTCTGATTAAATGAGCCGAATTAAGCAATGTCCAAGTCCATTCAAATTTCAGCATACTGTGGCATATTGCTCAGAATTTGAAATCATATTTCATAACATTACATCATTAAAATGAGCTACGATAGTTAAGAATCATTTGCAAATCTTTTCATTAATTTCATTTTGTTATTCATTCAGAGGAGACGATTGACCTAAATGAAATTCCAGAATTCTGCAAGCAGTCTCTGAAATAAAGTTTCTTAAGAGGAAGGCTTTAAATGGTCTTCACAGTATTCAGTTGCATGGAATGACTGGTGTTTTACCAAAGAAAGATGTGCATAAATCGAATTAATTATGAAAACTAGTTAGTAAGTGCCTAAAGGTATAGTTTTCCTATTTTCTCAGTTTGACACAAATTGGTTTCTAGCACCTTGTTGAAAATGGTAATCATACTTATAATTTGGGCTTGGGTGCTTTGCTCTCATCTGCATATGTTGAAAATTTACTCTTGATTAAAAGCAAAACAACCAAGGGAAAATCACAGTGTGTTACATCGAGTTTCTCAGTATCAAGCAAAGCTCCTTGTTTTAGTCAATGTTTTGTTTTTCCAGGTACGGTGGTTTTGCTTTTGGCATGCCACTCCCAGCGGACTTAAAAATGGACATCACAACAGTGCCCAAAAACCGTACGCTGTCTAAGGTAACGTTCTCCCACTGCTTCCCTGCCCCTTTTCTCATTATCAGATTAATTGCCGTACTGATTAGTTGTCAAGAGTTAAAACCTGATGTCTTAACCAAACGTGTTTACTCAGTGCATGGAAATGGAGCTGAATTGTTACACCAATCATTTTCATCATAAATATGCTTTACTGCAGGAATTGTGCCAGCATAGATGAAGATGTCTGCCTTCTTTGTGTTATTAAAGTGTTTATGTTGTTTTAATATATAGTATACCTATTTCCTGATCTCTAGTGTTGTGAATGATGTTCGTTTTTATGCATGTCTGTGTTTTTGCCTGTGTAGGTCTGGTTCAACCCTGAGGGTCACCACACAATGCCAGCATACTTAAACAGCCTCAACAACTTCATCCTACGCTCCAATCTGCCAGCAGACAAGGATCCACGCAAATATGGTAAGCTAGAATTGGTGAAGAAAAAAAAGTTAAAGTCTTAGTACACATGTTTGAGATGTCACTTCAGCTGATGGGGGATTCTGTACAAAGAAATGCATTAATAACAAACATCAGTTTTATCTAACTTTTGGAATACTGAAATGGATTTTGGCCACAGCTTACTCTTATTTGTAATGTGATTAAAGTGAGTTTTAGAAAATGTACCGTATATGTATGTTATGTTTGCGGTATTTTATTTTATGCCTTCAGGCACAAAACACTGGTTATTGCAAAGATAGGGTAAGGCAGAGATTGAAAAAGACATGACTGCACAGGAGAGAGGCACATCCGTATTAGAAAGCTGCCCCTCACTGATAGCCCGGTGCATTCTGTATAGTAAACATACAGTAAAGAAAGCTGTAAACAGTGTGTTTACTCATGGTTCATTTCACTGGATTAAAGCCAGGGGGTGCTGTGTGTCCTTACGCTCACATCACTATGCATGGTGAATACTGATGAGTGCCACTCACTGGGGAGATCTGCTAAAGAGAAACGAGGCTGGCCCACGTTTTCAGTACTGTTTCAGCTTCTGAGTATTATCCTGACCATCTGCCTGCAGGCAGGAGTACACAGTCATGCACTCATACACAAATGCATATATAGAATTGCTCATAAAAACATGTATAAATAGCAGAACGGGCACACACACACATTTATTCCCCAGTGGATGATAAAAGTGCTTGAGGGTAAAGTGTAACCATTTAAATGTTACCTGCAAACTCAAAGCGGTGGCAGGGGTTGTCCGGGGTGGAGATCCAGGGAGATTACTTTTCAAGGTGACTGCTTTATCTGTTAAAAATTATATCCTAGCCTTTGCATTGTGTACTACAGTTTAATTTTGGGGTTGGGCCCCATTGGATGTTTGCATCAAACCGATTTTTCATGTCACTCTTGCAGGATTTGTGACTACAATTACCCACTGGTGCATTTGTACAAAAACACCACTGTCCGGATTATAAACTCAGATTACTCTTACCTGCAACTGTGTTGTTTATTTCAAGTTTTTCCTCACCCATCCCCCAGAAATCATTGATTTTCTCACCTGCCTAATAGTCCACCTTTAGAAGATTTGATTTGAAAACACATGCTCACCTTGAGTCTCTTAGAACTAAACGTAGTATAGATAATCAATTTCTTTAGTTTGCCGGTTGAACTACACGTCAAACATGAACATTTGCTTTTGAGGTTTTGGGGCTTCTTATAGAAAAGAAATGGCACAAATTCAAAGGCTCCGGTTCTCTAAAATGGGGGTATTTGCCCATTTTCAAACCACTATGACAACATAAATTATATCTGTGCATATAAATATACTTATTAGTAAAACTCTTGCTAATTATCATTGCAAATGCACAAACCAGGTATGGGAACATTTGAATTCAGTGCAGTCGTCTTGTAGTATCAGTAATTACAGATGTTTTAGGCAGTGGTACTAATCAATTTCATCAAAGTTGTCTTGAGTAATGCTAATCCCGCAGCCTGCTCTGGGGCTTCTGTGCTGTAGGTGAACTCACAGTCCTATTTCAGGAAATGCAAAATATGTAGGGCTACAGTTCATGTCTCTGAGCATCTCAAAGACCCAGAAAAATGATAAAGAAAATTCAATTTCCTTTGTGCGCACTGGCAAATGAAACCATCTCCCGCTATATTTTTCAATTGACTGTGTCCTAGGCTAAGAGAATATCATTGCTCATTTGCTTCCTGTGCTGAAAAATAGCTTGCATGCTGTTGTTTTTCTTTTGCTAACACAGTACTCTGTTTTATTTCTGTTACAGCCATTTCAGTTTACAGCCAACCATATTTTGGACGGGCGGATGATGAAGATGTAGTGTAAGGGTCATGCTTAAAATTCTTCTGCAGAATTGACTACTAGTGCATTACTAGACAAATAATCTTAGAAAAATAGATCTGTATTTGCATCTTAATCTGTGAAAATATTCCCCAATTAATCATGTGTTTATGTGCTTGGGGGTTTTTTTTTTGTTTTTTTTGTTTTTTTTTACATCTAATTCAAGATGGATTCAGGGCAAGGATGTACATGACAAAATTATTTATACATATTTGATTTTCTAAATTGATTTCCTTAAGTTTACAGTATTGATCAGAGTCCCAATTTAATGAATGTTTTGGAATGAATATTTCGGTAAAGGTGGAAAAGAGACTTAGTTTAAATGGATGTGTGCACATGTTCCAGAGGAGCAAATCAAATACATCATTTTGAGAGTGGATTGGACTGACCTTGTGTTCTCTCTAGAGCCTTTTTACTACTAAGCATCTTACTGGCAATTTTAGAGTTATTGGTCAGTTTTTCCACATATGTCACATTTATGTTCAGTGTCTGTGTAAAACGTTAATAGGTGTAGTCTGCTGAGATGCTGTAGCAGCTGAATAGGTGATATTAGGCTTCCTTACTAGATGTATTGATTTGCCCTGAGCTGTGTTAAAGACACAGCAGACTTATTACTCTAAAGTCTTGATTCTCACAATATAGTAGCTTTGCCCATGAGAGAAAATCTAAGGCTATGCTGGCTGTCTTGATAACAAGCCTGCTCTGTAGCTGTCGCTCCTGACTATCCTCTGTAGTTACTGTTGCCCTGAAACGCCCACCACATGTCCCTTTCTGTTGTTCTCACTCCTTCCCACTCGGACACTCTGCCAGCTTCATCTTCATCCTCTTTTCAGCTTCGTGCAGTTCATTGTGTTTAGTTTGAGGTGTTGTGCCCCAGCCAGAGGGGAGTGGTAAAAGTAGTTCAGTTGCGTGCAGGGTAGGCGAGAGAGCACTGGAGACGAACAGGTACTGGATTGGCATCAAGAAAGTTTAAATGAACACGCTGAGTAGAAGACGAACTGAGGGGATCAAAGCTTCAACTGGATTTCTGGGGTCTAATCTGGACAATAGGCTCTGCAGTCTCACAGAAACACCCTTGGCTTGCTGACTGTACAGCAACAGCAGTGTGAAGTTGTTCTCTGCATGAAGCGATCTGTTTCTCTTGCTGTTATCTTGTCAAAGATGATTCGCAAGCGTCTCTTTTTTTTCACAAAGCTGTTTGTTATTAATGGGATTCCATTCATTGTGAGATTCCTCAGTAGTTCAAATGAGTCACGTCCCAGTAGGGAATAATATGATAATTCTGGTTAAAATGAGCTAGTATTTTCAGAAAATACATACACCTGGTTGAACGCCAGTTTATATTCACTCTTCTGCACCGTTTGTTGTTGCTATTGTAGTAGTTTTAATTCAAAAGAACAGAACAAAAGAAATAAAAACACAACACAATAAATACATGGCCCAGTAACACGATAAGTGCATTATTCATGGTAACTCAATGGTTAATTGTATTTAATCACATCACCTGCATGATCTTTTCTTCACAGTGTCCAGGGAATGCTTCACATCCTTGTGGCTATGTGCGTGCTCACAGGCTTCTCAATAACAACAGCCAGTTTTGCCCTCTATGAAGTCACTGAGCACCAAAAAGGGTCCAAGAGGCTTCAGCACATCGCTGGCATCAGCGAGTCCTTCTACTGGATTGTAAACTTCATCTATGACATGGTAACGTCATATTTCTTAAATTGGCTACAATATTGAAAACCAAGTGTTCAACTTAATTTCATCCATATATCTTTTTTCAAAGTTATTAAACGAAGTGACTTTCTGTTGCTGCATTGTGCCCCACCCTTTTCCATAGGTCATCTATTTGGTCCCCGTAGCTGCGACCGTTGTTGTGATTGCTGCCTTCCAGATTCCAGCATTTACAGAACGCCAAAATTTGGGTGCCGTCACTCTCCTCCTGGTGCTCTTTGGGTCAGTAACTTTGAAAAAAGTAGATTCACCAATTGTAGCCACATTGTAGTTGTACTGGAGTGTATATTGTTGACAAAAATGTATTTGATAATGAACCAGTCCTTCATGTGGCTGAAAATTTTGAAAGACAATCTTTTAGAGATTGTTCTCTCTACAGTAGCTATACTACTGGATTGCTTTCCATTATGAAAGCAAACATTTATTTTATTTTAACTTAATTTGGGTATCATTCTGTCATATAATATTATAATACTTACTAATGGCTAAGGTCAGAGAACGTGACAATGTCACAAAATATGGATGCAACACAATAGCAAAGTAGCAGTTAGACAAGCAGTCAGATTGAAAGGTTTAGTGCAGGTAATCTTCGCTACCACTTCATAAAGAGCTACCACTAGGATAATGGTCTGTGCTGTAATGACTGCTTATGCCACTTTTAGTTGCAACATACAGTATTGTGCA